TTGACAAAAACACACTATTCCACATTCTGCTTAATGTCCTCCAAACAAATGTGCCAACTGAATGCTATGAAAACATACAGTGTTTAACAATTTATTAGACCCCCTGTCACTGCATGTTGACTTTTAAACCTAAATTTAATGTTCAACAACAGATGTTTCTGCACAATGAATGTTTGCAAAACATTATGCAAAAATGGAAAGGCATGCATAAATTTGTGACATTTACAGATAAGGATATGACCGTTAACTGAGCGTTTTTTGCGCTGAGGACGCACACACGTATCTATCAAAGCACCTGAGATAGGGCAAGTAATTAAGCTAATGCATCAGCTTGAAACTTAAAACAAAGATTTCTCATGTTTTGGGCAGCTTGGATCACGTACTTTTTCTTCAGGAGCTCATTCTGTTTCCTCCACTATTTTTAGATGCATTTTGTCCATAGAAATGCGTTATTCAGTGCTGTAATTTGATGCGACCGGCTGAAGTTGGACGTGCACTGTGGGCAGACGTGACTAATCGATAATGAGAATTGTTGTCGATGATTTTCATAATCGATAAAAATTGATTTTATCAATTAGTTGTTGCAGCCCCACATTTGATTTCATTACTCTTCCCTAACCAAGCTATTTAGTCATTAGGTTGCTCAGTGGCAAATGCAATCTTCCCACTATCACCATTTATGAGCACTGTTGTAGGTGAAAATGTAACCATATCCTGTAGTTACAAAGGATTCACTGGAAGAGTGCTGAATGCACAGTCATACAAACAGTATGCTGGATCAAAACCTGAGTTCTTTATCACAATCTATCAACATGGAGCTTTGGCAGTGGCAAAAGCATCTGTTATCTCACACCTTTCAGGCAAAGCTGATCAAAACATCCAACAAGTGGATCTAAAGATCTCAGATGCTGCGGCAATTTGGCCAGGACACCAGGGTTACACCCCTACTCTTTACGAGAACTGCCATGGGATTTTTAACAACCACAGAGTCAGGACCTCGGTTTAACGTCTCATCCGAAACACGGTACTTTTTGACAGTATAGTGTCCCCGTCACTATACTGGGGCATTAGGACCCACACAGACCACAGGGTGAGCACCCCCTGCAGGCCTCACTAACACCTCTTCCAACAGCAACCTAGTTTTCCCAGCCAGAAGCCCTTAATTAAAGCATATTTTGTGGATGCCTTTATTTCATGAGTTTTTTGCAGTGAACTAGGAAAATGAAATGTATCATCTCAAATAATATGTAGGAAAAAAGTTTATTTAGTTTTGCTTCATTGTTTTGGTAATTCATAAAGGTATGTAAATTTGATATTCACATATGGTAACATATCTACTATATTTATAGATATACAATTACTGAAGGCGCCCTTAAATTACTATTCGTCTGTTGTTGATGTTTTCCTTGAAGATTATGCTTTAGCAACTGAAAGGCATGTTTTAAAAGCTACAAAAGAAAAATGTTAATAATGACCTCCTGTTCTACACTGAAAGACCCTGGTCTAAACTATACTATAGATAGGGAGATGAAAATGCTGTACTAGAGACATTTACTCAGAGGGTGGCGTCTGTGTCTCAGAATAGATCTCACAAAAGTGAAGGTGCACATATTATATGAGACAGACATTCAGTACATCAACCATTATGTTTATCTTCATACTTATTAGTTTATGGATTCATTTGGGTGAGAACTCATGCACATCAAACAAATACGTGAGAACAAATGCAATCATCCCACTATCACCATTTATGAGCACTGTTGTAGGTGAAAATGTAACCATATCCTGTAGTTACAAAGGATTCACAGGATGAGTGCTGAATGCGCAGTGGTACAGACAATATGCCGGATCAAAACCAAAGTTCCTCATCTACAGCTATCCCCAGGGAGGTACATCCTTACCCCTAACACGAGGATCTGTCAAATTTGATCAAGACCTCCAACGAGTGCATCTAAAGATCTCAAATTTTAAATGGAGAGATTCAGCTGTGTACTATGTGCACTGAAGCCCACAATCACAGGAAACTAGATAGGAAAGAGTTCCTATACAAAAACATAATATACTTCAGATTTAAGGCAGAGTTAAAACATTTCTCACTTCTCGTTTGGAGATTCTCTTGATTTCAACATCTTACATGGCAATAGATCGTCCCAATACCATAAAAATTTAAATTGTTGATAAATGATGAACATGTAACAGCGTACTTCTTATTACACAGATGCCCTTATGACACATTTAAGATGCATATTATGCAGATGCCTTTACTTGTTCATTTTATTAAGTTGTCCAGTAAATATGAGAACAATTTCTAATCAAATATTTAAAAAACATTTGCACTGGCAATATATGTCTGTTGTGGGAAATATCTGAATCTACTATTAATTTTTAAGAGTCAACATAGAGTCCCACAATTCTTCGGGTGGAGCTTGAGAAGATTGGGTACAGCAGTGCGAGGCCCTGTTTCCCCAAATCTTATTTTGCATATGATCTCCAACAGTCATAATGGTTTTGTTTTACCTCACCATTTTGGCACTTCTTACAGGTATTTCCATTTGATATTTATAATTGTTAATATATCTATATAAGTCTATAAAAGTATATTAATGAAGATACAATTACTGAAGGTGCACAAATATCACTATTGTTCCTTTGTGATTTTTTTTCCCAGAGAGTGTTTTTGCAAATGCAATAACACACATCTCTACTGAAAATCATGCTTTCGAAGGAGGAAAAGTGACTATTTCATGCAACTACAGTGGAAATGATATAAGAAGTTGGCAGTGGTACAAACAGTATCCCTACTCTGCCCCTGAATTTCTCTTGCAAGCTTTGGAAACTCTGGGTCCAGAGCAGAAGGACCGTTATGTTGCTGAAGCACAAAAGGACAAAAAACTACTGAACTTTGAGATCTCCAAAACTGAAGTGTCAGATGCTGCAGTATACTACTGTGCCCTGGTGCCCACAGTAACAAGAAACCCTTCAACACTGTACAAAAACCTGAGAGGGAGAAAAATACATTATTTACATCTTTAGCAAACTTTAAAAAAAAATTTGAATGATATCAGAATGATATTTTACTAATATGTGTTTATGTCTTTGAAGCCTTGTCACAGACATTATTTATCAGAAGACTCAGAGGGTGGAGCTCTTTTGCTAAGATGGTGATTCAAAGTCTACTTTTACTGACTTTGTCATCAGTCCTTTTCAGAAGATCATCCATCATGTTTCTCTTTTGTTGGACATTTTCATTACTCGTCGGTAAGCGACATTCTATCTTTCAGGGTATCATCCCTATTACGATAAAGAATAAATGCCAGAGAATGTGGTGTGTGGACAAACTTAATTTTAGAGAACCAAAGTATGAGTTTATTATGCTAAATCTATTTTCTTTTTTTATTAATAAAGATGCATTTCTCTGTTTCTTTTACAGGCATTTCTTTTGCAAACACAATACAACCATTATCCTCTGAAAAGCATGTTTTCAGAGGTGAAAAAGTGATTCTTTCTTGTAACTACAGCGGCAATGTAGATAATCTGCTGTGGTATCGCCAATATCCTGGATCTCAACCAGAGTATCTCATTCTCGTCACAGAATATTCAGAACCTGATCTTTCACTTCGTCTGTCAGCAAAAGCTTCAAAAGACCTAAAACAAGTGAATCTTACAATCTCCTCTGCATCTATATCAGACTCTGCTCTGTACTACTGCGCCCTGAAGCCCACAGTGACAGGAAACACAAGAACACTGTACAAAAACCTGACATAACCACACTTATGTTAACCTTGGTTTGTAAACCTCAGCAGAAATTGTTTATCACAGGTATAGGTCATCACAGAATAAAAATATCTTTCCAAACCCCAGTAATAAAAAAAATGGTAATGTGTTTGTTGTCTCACAAGTCACTCACTTAGCCCAGACAAGGGTGGTTTGCACTAAGAATTATAATGCTCCTCACGCATATAATGATCTCAAAAATCACTACACAACTTTTTGAATAATATATAGTACAGTATATTTTTTTAGTCTACAGTACAGAAGTCAGCCTCAGTGCATATAGCATGATGGTTAATTACTACAGAAAGCTATTCATCCACAGTTGATCTATTCATCACGGTTTTCTTGAAAATAAACAATTTTGTCCTGTCGGTATATGCAGCAGCAGCACTATGTATTGTGTATGTAACAAATTAACTCGTCATTCACGTAAAAAAAAAACTAAGCTCAAAAATGTTTCATTTGCCACAGGGTGGAGCTCTAGGCTGAAATCATAGTGCTCAGGAAAGATGAGTCATTTCTTTCAGCCATGCTGGTCTGTGTACAGATATTTTCGGTGCTTGCAGATGAGATTTATGCCAACATAAACGACTAAATAAAGTGATACCGCTTTGTGTTACTAATACAAAAGAAATTATTCACTTAAAATTAAATTCTATAATTTACTCACCCTAATGTTGCACAAAACCCATATGATGTTCATCCGTAAAAAACATTTGAGATAAGAGAGAGAATGGTGATCATAACTGTCAATCCAATCCAATCCAAAAGTTTCATCAAGATAGTCCATATGAATTATGTGCTTGAAATTTTAGTAGTTGATAGTTAAAATTTTGTCCTCCCCCAATAGAAATCGGTGTTCACGAGTACTGTTTGTTTACATTTAGTGTGACACATATAAGGAGAAAAGGGGGAGGGAGGTGGGGGGAGACATTTTTTAAAATTAAAAATGTAACAGTAAACATATAATTGTTACCATTACTCAGTTTACACATCCCCTAGTACATTTTTCTGGAACATTTTTGTTAGTTTCTGACAGTATTCACTGGAAGAGAACATGGTTACTCCCCTGAAAATGTTTGTATTTCTAATCAAATAAGACAGGTACATTCAATTTCACATAATGTCTATCCATCCAACTCCCAAACTGCTACTTTTGTTGATCTCTCTGTGTATTCAGCAAAGTTAGAAAGGTAGAAAGTTTGCTTCATTTATTATACCACTTCAATCAGATAAATCTTGTATTTCAATGTGGTGCTGTTTCTTTTCTAGCAATTAAAAAAAAAGACTCGAGAAGAAGGAAGTCTCCTGCACAGAGCTGGGAGTCATTCTTAGGGTGGGACTACAAAAGGCACTTAAGTTAAGACTGCTATTGCTCTTTCTGTATCTCAGTATGACAATGTTGTTCTTTTACTTTACCGTCACGGCACTTCTTACAGGTGATTGATTATATTTATATCAAAGCTATATGTTGTTTGTTGAGCATATATAAATACATTTTAACTGACACTGAATTAATGTTATCGTCTCTTTTTGTCTTTCCAGATAATGTTCTTTCAAATGCAATAACATCTCGCTCTACTAAACAGCATGTTTTAGAAGGAGGAAAAGTTACTATTTCTTGCAACTACAGTGGAAGCAATATTAACAGTCTTCAGTGGTACAGACAGTCTTCCAATACTGCACCTGAATTTATCTTACAAGCTTTTGAAGGTTTGGGACCACAGCAGAAGGACCGCTATATTGCTGAAGTTCGAAAGAATGAAAAACAAATAGATCTGGAGATCTCCAAAACTGAGATGGCAGATGCTGCAGTATACTACTGTGCCCTGGTGCCCACAGTAACAGGAAACCCTTCAACACTGTACAAAAACCTGAGATATGATTTTCACATTTGACTATAGTGTCTCTGATCCTGGTGCTACATGTGAAATAGTTTTCTTTCTACTGCACAGAGTGATGGATATTAATGGAGATTAATTCATATTCATGGTCATTAACACTTGATAAAAAAAGTGATTTAAAACAAATCTAAGCAAAAACTAAGAGCAAGATTAACAAATGAGCAAGTATTAATTTATCAGTTTAAAATTTTACATTAATCCATACTTCTGTTCAGAAAGGTATTTGTCTTTCTAATACAATTAACTTCTGTTTCCTAGAATGCATGAATACATCTTCTATAAGGAAACAACACAGACATCTCAGAATAATGTATACTTGTAGGGGTGAAAATATAACTCAGGCTCTGTTACAATGTCAAAGGTTTGTCTGAAGTATGGTATATGCAGTATCTCTGGTCTGGAGGATGGTTTCTTTATTTTTATCACTTAATAGAAAAGGACATTTTGGTGTGCATCTAAATACTACAAAAAAATGCACAAATCTTGCTGACGTATGATATTGTCAGCTGTAGGCTGCTGTATCTTAAAACATGCCCTCACTGTTCAAACTACTGATGTTATTATTATTATTTGATGCTGTAGATCAGGGATGGGAAACAACACAGACATCTCAGAATAATGTATACTTGTAGGGGTGAAAATATAACTCAGGCTCTGTTACAATGTCAAAGGTTTGTCTGAAGTATGGTATATGCAGTATCTCTGGTCTGGAGGATGGTTTCTTTATTTTTATCACTTAATAGAAAAGGACATTTTGGTGTGCATCTAAATACTACAAAAAAAATGCACAAATCTTGCTGACGTATGATATTGTCAGCTGTAGGCTGCTGTATCTTAAAACATGCCCTCACTGTTCAAACTACTGATGTTATTATTATTATTTGATGCTGTAGATCAGGGATGGGTCTTTTAGTACGGCCCGCTGGATCATATTAGACTCGGATGATCAATTTTAAAACATTTGAAAAGCAAGTCACGTAAAGATTGCGTTCAGTTTATGATGTTAATACTATCTCCAACCAGAAGAGTTCGCTAGTTTCCAGCCGCTCCCCTATTAATTTCAGCGTAGCAGGACGTGCACTCTAATGTAAACATTCATTAACATTAGCAAATAATAAATGAAAAACTGACCATGAAAACAGTATTTTCAAGTCAAACAGATTATCTTTTTACCAAGTTCAAGGGGATACCCATATGTTTGGATTGTTTGGAAATCTGTATTTTATTTCAATCGCCATCACACCACTGCTCACAAACAACGGGGACGCCAGAGTTGCACTTGCCTCAAATTTCAAAGGTAAAATTCATAGTCAACAAAAGCTTTTTGCCAAATGCATGACAGAAATGTTTGTCCTGGACTATGGTCTTATTAGGGTTTCCGCGGGTCCTTAAAACGTCTTCAGTTAAATTGTTTACATTTAAGGCAATGCAAACTCTTAAAGGGGTCATATGATGCTTTTTTAAAGATCATTATTTTGTGCATTTGGTGTAACAGAATATGTTGACATGCTTTAATGTTCAAAAAACACATTATTTTTCAAATACTGTACATTATTGTAGGTCCTCTATGCCCCGCCTCTCTCAAACGCTTCGTTTTCTACAAAGTCCCTCCTTCCGACAAGCGCAGTCTGCTCTGATTGGCCAGCTGACCCAGTGCATTGTGATTGGCCGAACACCGCAAGCACTCGTCGGAAATGTAACGCCCCTTTTACCATAATCGCGAGCTTCAGCTTTCAAATTAAATGTAAAGACAGTAAATAATGTCATTAGTTTTACCATCAGTTCAAGCCAGAAAGGGGAACAGAGTCGCGTGACAGACACAGTGATGAAGCTGGTATGTGTTTGTGATGTCACCCCCTCTCTCTCTCTCACTCTTTCTCGCACTCTCTCTCTCTCTCTCTTGCGCTCTCTCTCTCGCGCGCTCTCTTGTGCTCTCTCTCGCTCTCTCTCTTGGCTCTCTCTCTCTCTCTTTCTCGCGCTCTCTCTCACACACACACGTGCATGCGCGCACACGCCAGACACAGTGATGAAGCTGGTATGTGTTTGTGATGTGACCCTTTCGCTCTCTCTCTCTCTCTCGCACTCTCTCTCACGCTCTCGCTCTCTCTCTCTCTCACGCTCTCTCTCTCTCTCTCTTGCGCTCTCTCTCGCTCTCTCTTTCTCTCTCTCTTGCGCTCTCTCTCTCTCTCTCTCTCTTGCGCTCTCTCTCTCTCTCTCTTGCGCTCTCTCTTTCTCTCTCTCTCGCGCTCTCTCTCGCTCTCTCTCTCACACACGTGCA